AACTCAACACCATCTTTATTTGCATCTACTGGGGAGAATCAATCTGTCACCCCTATGGAAGTCCTGCATGTACTGAAGTCCCTTAAATCTAACAAGGCACATGGCCCTGATTTGTTGTCCCTCTTTCTGCTGAAAGAGTGTGCTAAACAACTTGCTTCACTCATTTCCGAGTTCAGCATGTGTATGTCAGCTGGAAGTATTCCTGATTGCTGGAGAGTTACCGGATAACATCAATCCGGAAAAAAGACCGCCCAAATACCGACCGATTGCTTGCACATCAGCATCATTGAAAGTTTTCGAAAGAGTCCTTCATAACCGGATGACCCTTTTATCCGTTACTCATGACCCTATTCTTTTTTCATTTCTACTTCCTTTTTATTAAATGCTTAATGATAGGATTTTCAGGAAGGGTGGAAGCGGCCATACAAGTCAGGCGGTGGTGGTGGGATTCAAACACTCGTTCTCCGGGGTGATAATTTGGTGACGTTACCACCGCCCAATTTAATTTGTTTACAAACCTTCGCTTTACCACTCGTGATGCTAGTGCTTAAGTTGTTTATTCCGTTTCATCCTTATTGGACAAAGGGTCTGGCATCGTGCGTTTAACTTCTTCTTGATTATGCCAATGCTTTCGGATCACGACCGCGGTATCCTCAATCAACATCTTTCGGATTGTGGTCTGGCACCTGATTTTTTGAATGTACTAATCAATTACTTCATTCATAGGACGCAATTCACTTTTGTAACGGCAAATCTTCTTCCCTGATAGAAGTTAACTCCGGGGTTTTTCCGGGTGCTATTTTTTCTCTGTACATTAAGGACCTTCCCATCCATCACAACTTTATCGCGTGCAAGTATGCTGATGATGTAGTGGTCGGTTGTCCCTCGACTGATCATGACTGTTTCCACCAACTTCAAGGTTGTCTAAATAAAATTTTTAGTTGGTCGACGATCCGAGCAAGCATTTTGATTCATGCGATCGATTTATATTCCATGCACTGTCAAACGAAGAACACTACTTGCATGCCTATCTCGACAAATCGGTGTCCCATCCGAGTACGCGTTCCAAATTTATGATTCTTTGTGCACGGACCACTAAATATAAAAACAGCATCATCCCTTATTTTGCTTGTATCTTGGTCAGCCGAGCAAATATTATTACTGACTTGGAAAATCATCTATCACATTAGGATTTTACCACATCCATTTTTTTCATTTAGTAAATGTATATTCTTCTTTTTTTCAATGTTTAACGTGTTCCTCACTGTAATTTGCGAAAGTGCTGAAGATTCATCCTGTTGGATACATAAGGCTTAACTTGGAACGAGGAAAAACTGGGATGCATTACACCGATTTGCAACAAAAAAGTCCATCTATCACTAATTAAGCACGCAAATACAAGAATCGGAATAAAGGACTAGAGAACAAGCATACCTCATCTGCAGAGAACAGTCGGACTCCTTCGAGTTGATGAAAAACCGGATAATGCAATGAGTCAACCTCGTCTCGTCGATACACATCACCGGCCAACAGAAAGGCGTTCAGTCCGGAATTGAGTAAATCCAACTGGTGGGCAGATGTATGACTTCGTAGCAAGGTGGTCTCATTCACATAGTATGTATCAGTAACCGCTCGACTTGGATGACCCTCGGGGATGAGGAGGCTATCGAAATTCTGTCTGGCGGTAACCACTGGCGATAAGCTGTCGTGCACACTGAACAACGGTGATCCATATTGTCCACTATTCGTGTTACGTCGGGCGTGTTTCTTTCAGATAGAAACGACCAAGGGGACAAAAGAAAGTGTGAGAGAGAGCTGGAATATAAACCAACGTGACGTAACAAGATATCACGGAATTCAGTTAGCCAAAGTGGAAAAACAACATAATTACAGAGGCCCATTTTCTTGCTTAAAACAGCACAATGAACTAGATATTTCTGGAAAACTATGGTACTGTTGGAAACTTACAAGCTGAACCAGGAAAGTTAGGTAGCTTGTACAGTACAGTTAACCACAAGTCAAGAACAGACGGTGCGCAAAAGGTGTTGCATAATGGAAAATGTGAAAAACAAAATGGAAACAATGATACACACATAATATCCGACGGTTTAGGCGTGTGCCACTGTTAGGTGCTTAAACTACTTAAACTTAAGTTGCGTTCGCTTTCACGGTCACGCTGTTGCTGTTGTATGTATAATGTAGCCAGCCAAGACAGAATAGGATGTTCAGTGGAAGGATATAATTACCAGTCTTCTACAGAAGGGCAGTGAGATTGGTCTTAGATTCCGCAATCCATCGAGGTAACTGCTCAATCAGTCAGAGCAATTTTTATCGCGTGTAAAACATGTTGTTAGGTCCTGCGCCTTTCGGTTGGGGATTTCACACTCGATGTGCCTAATATAACGTTCCGGTGTCCACACATGTGCGCAGTACTAGGGAAACTCATTTGGCCAACCATGAATGCTCTGCATAGTGAAGGCCTCAGCAAGATAAACACTATACGTTCATAAACAACAGCAGCAGCAGCATAGGCCACCAATGGTGAGCTGTGCTGATGAATGGGGTGTACACGGCTATAACTTTCCCGATCGATCTCGTGGGCATAAATAAAAATGAACATACAGGATTGCAATATGAACGGACGTATCAAGAACGAAGCGGAGGTGGAGGCAACGCCATTGCGACTAAGGAACTTTTATGTGCGTTACTCTAATTCCAGTTAGTATGAGATGTTCGTAACCGACAGTGCACAAGTCAGCATACTGTCCTAGAAACATATATGCTCGATCTTAAAATATAATGTTAACTTGTTGGCCTTTACTTGAACCCGAGCTATCACCTACGGCTTTCAAATGTTCTCTTATGGGCAACGACCAATACTCGATTAAGCGCTTGACAGGCAGATTAAGAAATCTGGAAGGAAGTGTTTTCGCGAGACATTATTCTGTTACCATGTTACTTAAGTTTGGTTGTGTAATGGTTGGAGGTGCAACGTCAAATAAAATTCGCGAATGGTTTTCACAGGGCGATTTAGTATTTATTCCATGTATCCCCGGATGGACAGCTTGAACTGTTAGCCAAGTTGAACGTGCAACGATGCTTAGGTCAACATTCGCTCTACGGAGTCCGCGTTACAGCTTGCACCAACGGGGTCACCAATCACCGGACACGAAAGCTGTTATGCGACATACTAATTCGGTCGGCTCATTCCCTAGCAGTAGCTGTCGTAACAGAAGTGTCCATTAATCTGGGTACCGATTCAAGTAAAAGTGGCATGTCCTTTTGACCAGAGGTGTTGATGATGAAATCATCCACATAAAGACAAAAGAAAATCGCAATTTACTAAACGCATTAAAGACGTAGTTTGATCAAGGGCAAACATAAGATTTATGCACCTGAAGCTGGTTTTGGATAGGAAAGGATTCGGAAAAATCCCCAAAATGCTTCACTCTCTCCCCGTCTGGACAATCGGAAGGAATGCGAACCAGTCAAATTATTGCAGTTAAGCTGGCTGAGTGGACCCGCATCTGTTCGAGGCAATGACGACCGGAAGAATCACAGAAAATTTACTTATCAGACACTACCATCACCATTCAACAGCTCTTTTTCTATCAATCTTGTACTTAATTTTCTTCTTGACGCTCAAACACTTTCCTGATCATCGCATTTCATTTTATCTATAAACACTCCCCTAGTTCGTATGAGTTTATGACATACAGGCTTCAAAGAGTGAATTCGGCGTGTTTGGAGAGCAAATGAAGCGTTAACTGAAAAGCTAGGAAGCATAATGTATAGCGGTTT